ATGCTGTTCAAAGTAATATCAGCATCACGACTATAATGATGCTGCCCTAAGTAATAAGTCCACATCATACATACCATTTTGACAATGCAGGTTTTTCTGTAGTTCTTGATCTGCCTGATAATTCCATTTCCCATCAAGTTTAGAACTTTCTGTTAAATAACCCCAAAAAAAACAATTACTCATTCATAAAAGAAAAACATTTTTTTTTGCAATGAAATTGAAAATGGCCCGGTGCATGGTCAATGGCCTGGTGGCGGTCAGTCCTTTGTGTGTGGTCATTGGCCCTGTGTGCAGTCTAACACAGCTTTATCAAGGTTAGTTTATTGACATATACTTTTATTTATATATATAAATATTTTATACAGCATACTTTCAACAAATACTGTAAACTATGATTATATCTGCAGGAATAAGATTTAAACATGACCATCAAACAAGAGGCCCAAGGGCCTTAGCGGTCACCTGAGTTATATCATAGGTACTGGTAGCTTTATTTTATTGTTTAGATGTGATGTGGAAATCAGCATGTAAACTAAGTGAAATACAATACTTGTCATGTCATCAATGGATAAGAATTTGAAAATATTGGTAAATGTTCCCTTTGGGGCCCCGCCCTAGCCCCTGGGGATGGGGCAGGAATCCTAATTTTACAAAGTAAAACTCTCATTTACCCAAGATGATTCTGACTAAGTTTGAGCAATTTTCTGCTGAAAATGGATAAAATATATACCGAAAAGTGTTATTTCCCTATATAAACTATATTAAACGTTAACCCCTCCCCAAGGGAGAACGGATAGCTCGGGGTCCTGATATTTTCAATTTAAATAAAGCCCCTGATGATCTTTCTTTCCACGTAAAGAAAATCACTGTAGTACCTCTGAGTCTGGAGAAGAAGATTTTTGAAATATTGATTAATTTTCCCTTTGGGGCCCCGCCCTGGCCCCAGGGGTCGGGGTAGGAATCTCAATTTTACAATTTGAAACCATCTACCTCCAAGGATAATTCTCACCAAGTAAAAATAATTTCCTACAGAAAGTTGTCAAAATATACCCAAAAGTGTTATTTCCCTATATAAACTATAGTAAACTTTACCCCCTCCCCAAGGGAGAACGGATAGCTCGGGGGTCCTGAAATTTACAATTTAAGTAAAGCCCCTGATGATCTTTCTTTCCACGTAGAGAAAATCACTGTAGTACCTCTGAGTCTGGAGAAGAAGATTTTTGAAATATTGATTAATTTTCCCTTTGGGGCCCCGCCCTGGCCCCAGGGGTCGGGGTAGGAATCTCAATTTTACAATTTGAAACCATCTACCTCCAAGGATAATTCTCACCAAGTAAAAATAATTTCCTACAGAAAGTTGTCAAAATATACCCAAAAGTGTTATTTCCCTATATAAACTATAGTAAACTTTACCCCCTCCCCAAGGGAGAACGGATAGCTCGGGGGTCCTGAAATTTACAATTTAAGTAAAGCCCCTGATGATCTTTCTTTCCACGTAGAGAAAATCACTGTAGTACCTCTGAGTCTGGAGAAGAAGATTTTTGAAATATTGATTAATTTTCCCTTTGGGGCCCCGCCCTGGCCCCAGGGGTCGGGGTAGGAATCTCAATTTTACAATTTGAAACCATCTACCTCCAAGGATAATTCTCACCAAGTAAAAATAATTTCCTACAGAAAGTTGTCAAAATATACCCAAAAGTGTTATTTCCCTATATAAACTATAGTAAACTTTACCCCCTCCCCAAGGGAGAACGGATAGCTCGGGGGTCCTGAAATTTACAATTTAAGTAAAGCCCCTGATGATCTTTCTTTCCACGTAGAGAAAATCACTGTAGTACCTCTGAGTCTGGAGAAGAAGATTTTTGAAATATTGATTAATTTTCCCTTTGGGGCCCCGCCCTGGCCCCAGGGGTCGGGGTAGGAATCTCAATTTTACAATTTGAAACCATCTACCTCCAAGGATAATTCTCACCAAGTAAAAATAATTTCCTACAGAAAGTTGTCAAAATATACCCAAAAGTGTTATTTCCCTATATAAACTATAGTAAACTTTACCCCCTCCCCAAGGGAGAACGGATAGCTCGGGGGTCCTGAAATTTACAATTTAAGTAAAGCCCCTGATGATCTTTCTTTCCACGTAGAGAAAATCACTGTAGTACCTCTGAGTCTGGAGAAGAAGATTTTTGAAATATTGATTAATTTTCCCTTTGGGGCCCCGCCCTGGCCCCAGGGGTCGGGGTAGGAATCTCAATTTTACAATTTGAAACCATCTACCTCCAAGGATAATTCTCACCAAGTCAAAATATACCCAAAAGTGTTATTTCCTAAATATACCCAAAAGTGTTATTTCCCTATATAAACTATAGTAAACTTTACCCCCTCCCCAAGGGAGAACGGATAGCTCGGGGGTCCTGAAATTTACAATTTAAGTAAAGCCCCTGATGATCTTTCTTTCCACGTAGAGAAAATCACTGTAGTACCTCTGAGTCTGGAGAAGAAGATTTTTGAAATATTGATTAATTTTCCCTTTGGGGCCCCGCCCTGGCCCCAGGGGTCGGGGTAGGAATCTCAATTTTACAATTTGAAACCATCTACCTCCAAGGATAATTCTCACCAAGTAAAAATAATTTCCTACAGAAAGTTGTCAAAATATACCCAAAAGTGTTATTTCCCTATATAAACTATAGTAAACTTTACCCCCTCCCCAAGGGAGAACGGATAGCTCGGGGGTCCTGAAATTTACAATTTAAGTAAAGCCCCTGATGCTCTTTCTTTCCACGTAGAGAAAATCACTGTAGTACCTCTGAGTCTGGAGAAGAAGATTTTTGAAATATTGGATAATTTTCCCTTTGGGGCCCCGCCCTGGCCAAGGGGTTGGGGTAGGAATCCCAATTTTACAATTTTGAAGCCTCATCTACCAAGGATGATTCTGATCAAGTTTGAAAAAAATCCATCCACTGGTTCTTGAGGAGAAGTTGAAAATGTAAAAGTTTACGCACGACGTCGTCGCACGACGCACGACGGACGACGACGGACGAAAAGCGATTGGAATAGGTCACTTGAGCAAAGCTCAGGTGACCTAAAAACAGGAAACTTTTGTTCTATGATAGGTTTAAAATTTCATTTGATTCATAAAAATATTCAAATTTTTTCAGTTAAAATTGTATGAAAAAGGTTATCTTTTAATATCACCTTCAGAACAAATTGCAATAACTAACTTTATATTCCAATAAAATGCATCAAGCACACTAACCAGGGACTTCATTTTCTCAAAGACGTCTATAGCAGCGGGGTCTTCTATGGCGTTATGGGACAGGTCTAGGACACTAAGGTTGTCACACTCGGCCAGGTGTTCCAGGCTCTTCACTGAACTCAGCTTGTTGTGGGATATGTTTAAGGTGTTCAGGACTGGCAGACATGCTGTAGAAGTCAAAATAAAATCATTTTGATGATTGTGACTGAAACATTCTTCATTTACATGAGGATTTTGAATTTTTTTTTTATGTAAACATCTTCAATACAAACCAATTTACAACAAGGAGAGGTCACAATTCTGTACAACTAGGAGAGGTCACAATTCTGTACAACTAGGAGCGGTCACAATTCTGTAAAACACTTGTACATTTTTCTGTTTAGCTGCAAAAAGAATTATCTGATTAAAAGTGTGTCAGCTTACCAAGGTTGTTTATGTTACGGATGAGGTTGTGGCTGACGTTTAAGGTGTCCAGTTGCTGTAGCGGTTCTAGGTTCTCTAGGCAGTCTATCAGGTTTTGCTGAAGGAACAGACAGCGCAGATCCACCTGGTTATCTAGATTCTTGATCTTTTTGATACCATTCACTTCCAACCAGAGACATTTGAGGCCTGTGTATTCTTCAAGAGCCTCAATCTCAAAGATACCTACAAGAAAATTATAAAATTCAATATCTTGAATATCTACAATTCAGCTGGTGAGTTACAGATAACGTACAGTTATAATTTGCACAAAAGGATCCAAATCCTACCCCTGTTAAAGTAAAATTGAGTAATTGAAATTGTTAAAGGCACAGTGGTTCATCAAGTTCCAAATATTTAAGTTTAAAACTTAAAACTAAAGGTATAGACATCATTAACAGACTTATATTTGTACTGAAGGTACAGGACGTCATTTAGAGGTTTATCTTTGTACTGAAGGTACAGGATGTCATTTAGAGGCTTACCTTTGTAATGGAGGTACAGGACGTCATTTAGAGGCTTACCTTTGTAATGGAGGTATAGGACGTCATTTAGAAGTTTATCTTTGTACTGAAGGTACAGGACGTCATTTAGAGACTTACCTTTGTAATGGAGGTACAGGACGTCATTAAGAGCTGGAGTGAGATAAAGTTTCAAGTCCTTACAATGTTGCTTTAGGAATGATTTTGTCAACCTGCAATTAAAAAGAAAGTGATTTGATATTTTTATCACAAAAGTTGATTAATTTTTCTCACTTTGTAAACAAAACAAGAGGCACCTGAATATGTTTTAAATAATTACAGGACATCATTTAGAGACCTACCTTTGTAATGGAGGGACAGGACATCATTTAGAGACTTACCTTTGTAATTGAGGTACAGGACATCATTTAGAGACCTACCTTTGTAATGGAGGGACAGGACATCATTTAGAGACTTACCTTTGTAATGGAGGTACAGGACATCATTAAGAGACTAACCTTTGTAATGGAGGTACAGGACGTCATTTAGACGTTAATCTTTGTACTGAAGGAACAGGACGTCATTTAGAGGCTTACCTTTGTACTAAAAATACAGGACGTCATTCAGAGGTTTATCTTTGTACTGAAGGTACAGGACATCATTTAGAGGTTTATCTTTTTACTGAAGGTACAGGTCGTCATTTAGAGGCTTACCTATATAATCGAGGTACAGGACGTCATTAAGAGGTTTATCTTTGTACTGAAGGTACAGGACGTCATTTAGAGGTTTATCTTTGTACTGAAGGTACAGGATGGCATTTAGAGGCTTACCTTTGTAATGGAGGTACAGGACATCATTAAGAGGCTTACCTTTGTAATGGAGGTACAGGACGTCATTAAGAGCTGGAGTGAGATAAAGTTTCAAGTCCTTACAATGTTGCTTTAGGAATGCTTTTGTCAATCTGCAATTAAAAAGAAAGTGATTTGATATTTTTATCACAAAAGTTGATTAATTTTTCTCACTTTGTAAACAAAACAAGAGGCACCTGAATATGTTTTAAATAATTACAGGACATCATTTAGAGACCTACCTTTGTAATGGAGGGACAGGACATCATTTAGAGACTTACCTTTGTAATGGAGGTACAGGACATCATTAAGAGGCTTACCTTTGTAATGGAGGTACAGGACATCATTTAGAGACTTACCTTTTTAATGGAGGTACAGGACGTCATTTAGAGGCTTAACTTTGTAATGGAGGTACAGGACGTCATTTAGAGGCATACCTTTGTAATGGAGGTACAGGACATCATTTAGAGACTTACCTTTTTAATGGAGGTACAGGACGTCATTTAGAGGCTTAACTTTGTAATGGAGGTACAGGACGTCATTTAGAGACTTACCTTTGTAATGGAGGTACAGGACATCATTTAGAGGCTTACCTTTGTACTGAAGGTACAGGACGTCATTTAGAGGTTTATCTTTGTACTGAAGGTACAGGATGGCATTTAGAGGCTTACCTTTGTAATGGAGGTACAAGACGTCATTTAGAGGCTTACCTTTGTAATGGAGGTACAGGACATCATTTAGAGACTTACCTTTGTAATGGAGGTACAGGACATCATTTAGAGACTTACCTTTTTAATGGAGGTACAGGACGTCATTTAGAGGCTTATCTTTGTAATGGAGGTACAGGACGTCATTTAGAGGCATACCTTTGTAATGGAGGTACAGGACATCATTTAGAGGCTTACCTTTGTACTAAAAATACAGGACGTCATTCAGAGGTTTATCTTTGTACTGAAGGTACAGGACATCATTTAGAGGTTTATCTTTTTACTGAAGGTACAGGACGTCATTTAGAGGCTTACCTATATAATCGAGGTACAGGACGTCATTAAGAGGTTTATCTTTGTACTGAAGGTACAGGACGTCATTTAGAGGTTTATCTTTGTACTGAAGGTGCAGGATGTCATTTAGAGGCTTACCTTTGTAATGGAGGTACAGGACGTCATTAAGAGCTGGAGTGAGATACAGTTTCAAGTCCTTACAATGTTGCTTTAGGAATGCTTTTGTCAATCTGCAATTAAAAAGAAAGTGATTTGATATTTTTATCACAAAAGTTGATTAATTTTTCTCACTTTGTAAACAAAACAAGAGGCACCTGAATATGTTTTAAATAATTGGTATGAAGTTAAGATATAGCACTCCATGGTAGGTGCTGTAAGTACATATGAAATTTCAGAAAAATCCATCCAGTACTCGAGATATAGCAAGAACAAACTTCAAACAGAGCCCCACCCGTATGCCCCTAGGGGGATCATACCCACCAATTATACAAGAACCCAAGGATGCTCCAGACAAAAAAGGATAAAATCCCTTAATCCCGATGGTCGGAGAGGGATTTTAAAGATTTTACCTCTATTTCTCCTATTGGGCCCCGACCTTCTGCCCCCTGGGAGACCACACCCACTGCTTATACAAAATTGAGTCCCTTTGGCTCAAGGATGCTCCAGACTAAATTAGGATAAAATCCCTTAATCCCTATGGTAGAAGAAGGATTTAAAGGTTTTACCTCTATTTCTCCTATTGGGCCCCGCCCTTCTGCCCCCAGATGGGCCACACTCGCTGTTTATACGAAATTGAGTCCCTTTTGCCCAAGGATGCTCCAGACTAAATTAGGATAATATCCCTTAATCCCTATGGTAGAAGAAGGATTTTAAAGGTTTTACCTCTATTTTTCCTATTGGGCCCAACCCCTCAGATCCCAGGGGGGCCACACCCACCATTTATACAAAATTGGTTCCCTTTCACCCAAGGATAATTCAGACCAAATACGGAACAAATCCTTTCATTCCTACAGAAGAAGAAAGATTTTAAAGAATTTGTTATATTTCCCTTATTGGGCCCGCCCTTCAGCCCCCAGGGGGGCCAGACCCACGATTTATACAAAATTGGTTCCCCATCCCCCAAGGATGCTTCAGACCAAATATGTTCCAAATCCTTTCATACCTACAGAATAAGAAGGATTTCAAACAATTCTCTATGTTTCCCCTGTTTGGCCCCGCCCCTCAGGCTCCTAGGGGGCCAGACCCAGGGTTTATACAAAATTGGTTCCCCTTCACCCAAGAATGCTTCTGACCAAATATGGAACAAATCCTTTCATTCCTACAGAAGAAGAAGGATTTTAAACAATTTGCTATGTTTCCCCTATCGGGCCAAGCCCCTCAGCCCCCAGGGGGGCCAGACCCACCATTTATACAAAATTTGTTCCCCTTCCCCCAAGGATGCTTCTAACCAAATTTGGTCAAAATCTGCTCAGTCGTTCATGATTAGTAGTATTTTAAAGGAAAAGTTGACGGACGATGGACGCTGCGGTATGGCATAAGCTCACCATGGCCATAGTCCTTCGGACCAGGTGAGCTAAAAATTGGTCAAGGTCATTTACTTGGTCAAACCTAATATCCTTCTTCCCAGCATGGTGATATTACCCCAAGCCTTTTGATAAATATAAAAGATTGTGAAATATTGACCTTTTCTTGTGGAGTATTAAAAATGATTTTAAGACTTTCACTTTTAAAAGAGAAGGTCACTGTCATACATCTGAACCTACTTTTAAGCCGGGCCAGATATGAACCTAGGCCTCAAGATTGGTTAAAAGTAGGTATTTTTTTCTGTTCTTTTTATTTTGCAAACTGTATTGGGCTCCATAAATGAAACTACTAGCCTAATACTTTGACTCTCATTAAAGCCTTTACTTTCTTCAACAGAAGCAGTTTTATTTTACATATTTGACCCCTGCGACTATGAATTAGGTCAAGGTCATTTTTGCACAAACTTTGTCGCTCTCCATCGCAGAAAGCCAAATATCATGACTTCAGGCCTTTTGATTCCTCAGGAAAGCTGATAAAAATGTAGACAGCCAGACAAAAGACGTCATGCCATAAGCTCAGTTGCCCTTCGGGCGGGTGAAAAATAGAAAACATAACATAAACATGGTCTTTTCACTTGATGATGAAAAGCTTAATAAAATCCTTTTTTTAATAAGAGAAAATAAAACATGGTTATAGTTTATGCCATACCGGCGTCCGGCCGGCTCTCAACTTTTCCTTTAAAACGCTACTAGCATAGTCCTGAGCGGCCAAGTAGATTTTGACTAAATTTGGTTTGGAGCATCCTTAGTCCAAGGGGACTCAATTTTGTATAAACGGTGGGTGTGAACCCCCTGGGGGCAGGGCCAAATTATGGAAATACAGGTAAACCCTTTAAAACCCTTCTTCTACCGTAGGCATTAAGGGATTTTATCCTATTCTAGTCAGGAGCATCCTTGGGCCAAGGGGACTCAATTTTGTATAAACAGTGAGTGTGGCCCCTCTTGGAATATTGGAAATAGAGCAAATTCTTCAAAATCCTTCTTCTTCTGTAGAAATGACAGGGTATTGTCCAAATTTGGTATGAAGCACCCTTTGGTGAAGGGGAACCAACTGTGTATAATTGGTTGGCCTGACCCCCCTGGGGGCACAGAGGCGGGCCCAATAAGGGATATAGAGGAATAGCTTTAATATCCTTTTTCTTCCTTTCGACCAAATTTGAACAGTAGCATCCTATGGGGAAGGGAAAACAATTTTATATAAATGGTGGGTCTTTGGTGAAGGGGACTATATTTTGTATAATGTTGGGTCTGACCCCCTGGGATAGACGGGAAGGGCCCAATAGGGGAAATATAGCAAATTCTTTAAAATACTTCTTCTTTTGGAGGAACGACAGGATTTTGTCCAAATTTGGGACGAAGCACCCTTGGGTGAAAGGGAACTAATTTTGTATCAATGATGGGTCTGACCCCCCTGGGGGCAGAGGGGCAGGGCCAAATAGGGAAAATAGAAAAATATAGCTTTAAAATCCTCCTTTTTCTGTAGGAATGACAGGATTTTGTCCAATTGCATATAAACATAACCCCTGACTAACCATATGCATGTAATACATGTACAGCAACATCTGGCTATTTCTACTTCAATTCTGCTAACATTTCCAGGTGAGCGATACAGGCCCTCTGGGCCTCTTGTTGTTACATCTTTTCTAAATTTTGATAAAACTGTTGTATTGTGATGTGAAAGGGTGTATTACCTGGGCCAGTCACTTTTGGAGTTACTCTTTGATATATAGCCTTGTTTTTCTGTCTTTTCATCTTTCACTTTATCACCATCTCCTGTGCCTTCTTTGTCCACAATGCTTTCTTTTTTGTCAGTATCACTTCCGTCCTTGTCACTGTTGCCTTCATCAGCCTTGTCTTTTTCTATATTAGGAAGAATACAAATGATCAACACGTTAAAAAGCTTGCAGAAATCATGTACAGTAATAGTGTGTTAGTTCTGTAAATTATAATACTGTACAGCAGGTGTACAGTATAGATAGAGTAGTAATAGTAGTATACACAAACCATTATATGGCAATCCAAAAAAAATAATTTAACAGGCTAAAAACGCCTTTATTATAACTTACTCATCAATCGATAAATCTAACAAAGCTTACTGCCATAAATTTACAATTTAACCTTTTTAATGGTCTCTATTTATTTACTATTGAATTCTACTTTTCAGTACATTTTCTAACATCTTCTCAATCAAAGGTAGATTTTTACCATCAGATTCTTCTTTCTTTTCGCTCTCTTGGATTCCATTTTGACCACCATTCTCTACCAAAGGTGGTGCCACCACATCTGCTGTGTCCTCCACACGTGGTTCTTTTTCTACAACCTCAATCTGAACTCGTCTTGGTTTTTCAACAACTGGCTCTTCATCAAATATTTCTTCTATCAAAGGCATGGTGACTTTTGAAGGTGATTCTGTTTGTTAACAGATAAGGTGAAATAGTCAAAATCACCAAACCATTCTTTTGTTAATTAATTGAAAATTCAGAGCATTAAGTTCAGTAATGAACCGATTATCAATCATGGAATTTGTAAACGATAATTGGAACTGGAAAGGCAAATCAATTGATTTTCGATCATACTCTATCATTAGCCCATCACTATTGAAAGATATCAAATATCTTGAGACTGAGCATGATTTCTATGTATAAAATATCAAAGATAACATAAAGTTACAATCATATTTAAATAAACAGAAGTACCTATATGCTAGTACAGTTGTAGTTGGAAGCAAAACACTTTTGACCAGTTGTGCATTCTTTTACAATGGAATACCTATAAAGTCTACATTGGCTTATTTCCAATGGGTTCCCTGACTAAAAAGTTATTTGACCAGTATCAGCTGAGATTTTACACTGATATAAAGTGAAGTAGTTCAATGTGTTCAGTGGAATAAATACGACAGGTATGTTACATGAGTGTGAAATTATGTCAATACCTCATTCCTATAAGTTATAACATGCTTCTGCTTTTTGAGCATTTCATTTTGGCATATTTTATAATATTACAGATACTGTTTACTGAATGCATTGAGAGGTCCAATTTTACACTTTGTGTGATAACAAAATGTTTCAAAAAGAAAGACACAATCCCTCGAATCAAAGTCGGAGTTAATTAGAAATCAATGAACACAACGTTGGATTTTGAACGTTGAAGTTTTTGGAATTGGAATATTCCAGAAAAGACCAGAATCTGTGTCTAAAATCGATCAAATGATCTGTTAACGAACACAAAGCATAGAAAGCCGGCGAATATATATGTAAATAGTACACGTTTATAGATATTAACAAATGCAGTTTAAAGTGGTACCTAGCAGACACGTTTAATTCCATCAACTAATAGCCATTTTCTACATACAATTCAGACATTTCTGAATTCTACGTGCCGTTTTCAAAGTTTCAAATTCAAAATCGCTTTTCAATGAGTCCTACGCCTACGGTTATATACTTTCATCCATTTTATATTAAAAGAAAATCTATCAAATCGTAAAATTACCTTAAATGTCTTGCTTATTCCTAGTCCTGTGTCTCAACACGCTTTCGACTGATCGACTGACAGTGGCATGTGCTTTCACGCCGCTTGTAAACAACAATGGCGTCGTAGGTTACAGTATATCGGAAGCTCTCGGACAGTTACCACTAAGGTGCCTTGTATCGGAACATTTCGTATTTGGTGGTATGATCAGTGTAGGAGATAGCTTTAAGGGAAAAGTTATGTGTATGAATTATGCGTCTCTGGTGTAATTGACAGATTGGTACTAGTACAGTATTCAGTTAGACAGCAATAATTGTACAAATTACATAGTGAAATAGATATTTGACAGAAACCTTACAGTTTATAAGTCAGCTCCCTTTGTCAGCATGCATTGATATGAGTGATATCTTAAATCACGGACTTATCTAGCTAGATAGCATCTAATTCCGTGGTAAAACCAGATTGATGTTTAGTAAAACAGTTGCTACACCAGAGACGTATTACATGCGTCTCCGATAAAACTGTATAAGTTGTAAACCTGTCCTGATGATTGGTTTTAATATAACATTCAGTCCAATCGAAGTACATGCAAGTGGTGATAATCTTGCAAATAACGATAAAAGTAATTTAACAATAAATACACATAAATGGAATGTTGATGAAGAAGCTCAAATGAATAGTAATTTAATTAGATGAGAACAATTTATTACATAATATTGTTAATGACATGCAGTCCTCTGTTGTCTCAGTAGATCACGGTATTGATATTTTTTCATCTGTTATAAATGAAATATTTAGCCAATGTTGTCAATCTTTTTCTAATCCACCATCTGACAGTAAATTAAAATGTCGTGCCCACAAACCCTGGTTTGACGATAAATGTAGACGACTGTACAAATTGTGTCGACGCAGAATATTTTCTTTTAGTTCCGATAGAACCCCTACAGGTTGTCTCTTGTCGAATCCAAGCGTAAGTATAAGGCTGCTTAACCGTAAATAAGTTTGTTACGCAGAAAAAAACTTAATATTTTTATGAGTGTTTTAAAAAGTGCTAAATTAGGTAGTGCTCCTGGAATGGATGACACTCTTAATGAATCTTTTGTCAAACATAAGGAGACATTTGCGCCAATTCTCTCAAAACTATTTAATGTTATTTTTGATATGGGCGTCTTTCCTTCAATATGGTCCAAGGTTATCATTTTCCCTTTGTTCAAAAAAGGTGATGCCAATGTTACAAACAATAATAGAGGAATCACATTGGTAAGTTGTTTATCTAAATTATTTACTAGTGTTTTAAACATTTGTCTAAGGAGTACAACATCGTCTCCGATGCCCAATTCGGATTTAAACATGGTTTTGGAACTAACGATGCTGTTTTTGCTTTACATGCTTTCTAATAATTGTAAGCTTTACTACTGTTTTGTTGACTATCATAAGGCCTTCGATATTGTGAATAGAAATAAATTAGTTTTGAAACTTTTTCATAATGGAATCAGAGGAAAATTATTCAATATTTTGAAATCTTTATATGAAGGTTTTAACCCCACACCTGACAGCTCACTCAGATGTGCCCATGTAGATAACCCACATCTGACAGCGCACTCAGATGTATCCATGTAGATAACCTACATCTGACAGCGCACTCAGATGTATCCATGTAGATAACCTATATCTGACAGCTCACTCAGATGTACACATGTAGATAACCTACATCTGACAGCTCACTCAGATGTACACATGTAGATAACCTACATCTGACAGCGCACTCAGATGTATCCATGTAGATAACCTACATCTGACAGCGCACTCAGATGTACCCATGTAGATAACCTACATCTGACAGCTCACTCAGATGCATCCATGTAGATAACCTATATCTGACAGCTCACTCAGATGTATCCATGTAGATAACCTACACCCACATCTGACAGCTCACTCAGATGTATCCATGTAGATAACCTACATCTGCCGGCGCACTCAGATGTATCCATGTAGATAACCCACATCTGACAGCTCACTCAGATGTACCAATTTAGATAACCCACATCTGACAGCTCACTCAGATGTACCCATGTACATAACCCACATCTGACAGCTCACTCAGATGTATCCATGTAGATAACCCACATCTGACAGATCACTCAGATGTATCCATGTAGATAACCTACATCTGCCGGCGCACTCAGATGTATCCATGTAGATAACCCACACCTGACAGCTCACTCAGATGTGCCCATGTAGATAACCCACATCTGACAGCTCACTCAGATGTATCCATGTAGATAACCCACATCTGACAGCTCACTCAGATGTACCCATGTAGATAACCCACATCTGACAGCTCACTCAGATGTACCCATGTAGATAACCCACATCTGACAGCGCACTCAGATGTATCCATGTAGATAACCCACATTGAAATATTGGTTAATTTTCAGTAGATGTAAAGTAGCGGTATTAAGCCTCCTCCTAGCCTACTCCAAGGATGAGGTTCTAGGAGAAGGTAAGATGAGGTATTATATCAATAATGAATCAAGGAGGATGAGGTAAGATAAAGTTCTATGAGGAGGTATGATGAGGCAAGGAGGAGGGGGGTTATTAAACCTCCTCCTCCAGCCTCCTCCGAGGATGGGTTCTAGGAGAAGGTAAGATGAGGTATTATATCAATGTTGAATCAAGGAGGATGAAGTAAGATGAGGTATAGGGTAGTGATGAGGTATGATGAGGCAATGAGGAGGGAGGTTATCAAACCTCCTTCCTCCAAGCCTCCTCCATCCTCCTCCTAGGATGAGGAGGTATGATGAGGTAAGGAGGAGGTAATATGAGGTATTATATCAATGCTGAATCAAGGGAATTAAAAGGTCACGGGGTCAGTCCCTCATCCCTCACGGATCCCTCACGGATCCATCCCGTCAGGGAGGGATTTACTATAAATAAAGAAGGAGTGATAAAGTGGCGTAGAGCTCTCAATTAATTGTAGATAAGTGATAAGTATAATGTATCATACAGTAGGTAGGCTAGGTTAACACTTCTGCTGATACTATCAAGTTGCAACAATATATAACATTAACCAACATTTATTAAAACACAATCAGTGCAACATTATCCAGAGCACTCTGCACATAAAACATAATTACCTTTAATATATCTTGTAAATCGAAATAAAGTCATCCGCCCAGCAAACACATCGTCACCTCAAGTACTCTGTACACAGCACATAATTACGGTTAATATCTGTCGTAAATTAAAACAAAGTCATCTGCCCAGCAAGCACATCGTCACCTAGAGCACTTTGTAGACAATTATGATTACTATCTCCTGTGAATCAAAGTAAAGTCACCCATCCAGCAAACACATCATCATCTAGAGCACTCTGTACATAATTATAGTCAGTATCTCTTGTAGATAGAGACAGTAATCCAAATATATAGCAATTATATCATCACCGGAAGCACTGTATATAATGATAGTCAATATCTTTTGTAGACACTTTGCATGCAAAGAAACAAAGTACCTCTGAGTGTAACCGATTTAGGTAAAAGTTGAAATGACCACACAAAGGTTAGTGTGGATGCTAGCCAAGTTCGGATTAATACCAGTTTATATGGTCGTCACAAAAATGTCATTGGGAAGATAATTTATGTCCTGACATTATGTTGCATTTCAGAATATATCTCGTCATACTCACAGTAAAAAATTATCTCTGTATATGTCTCGATGACGAAAAAGCCATTTTGACGATTAAATTCAATATGCCATTTAGTTCTGGCATGATGTGCCATTTCGGGAGTCATAAAACCCGTTCTGCAATATGGACAGTTCAGGGTTGCCAACGCTCTTAGACAATCCTCACATATGTCATTCCTACACATGGCACATCGTGAAATAAGTATCATATTTAAGTTCCATACAAATCTGGCACTCCTCAGCCCAGAAAAACAATTTAGACGTCATTATGCAAAAAAATAGTAATGAATTCCAACCAGTTCACTGCAACGTTTACTTTAACTAGACACTAAAGTTGAAGTAAGAGTGAAAATAACTGACCCAATACTGACCCACCAATGCCTCTAGAATGAAATCAGTTTGGCGAATCTTTAACCAATGTTCATATCTGTTAGTCAGAAACCAGAATAACTTTGGGGTATATTTCGAAGTCAAATGCTCCTTTCTAGCAAACATACATAGACAGACGTTAACAGCATACACAAGCCGGTTACTACCAGAAGGCTTCAAATCTTAACCAGAACACTGATATATATATGTATTTTCTTTAATATCATCGCACTAAACAACCATGGATCTCAAGGAAGTGTAAGGCAATTTTGCAAAAATACTGAGGATGAAATTGACTATAAATTGTTTATAGCTAAGTCCGGAAAGTGATAACAAAATTCAAGTTGAATAAACATTCAACAGATTAACGCAGAGGTTAAATATCTGCACAAAACTTTTAGAATCGGTGTTTATAATTGATTCTGATCCGGAAGAGTTTGTAGACATCAAAGAGATTGAAGTCAAGAAGCAAGTCACGTTTAGACGTCCAAAGACTAAACAATACAATCTTTACACTCTAAGCAAAAGGTCAGTGAATGTATAACCAGATACATGTAGAGTAAAGTAATTAGATTTGTTTTGCTTTAGTACATTACTTGAAAAATATACAACACCTTTGACTGAATTATACGATAAGTAAAATTGAATAAAAGGTATTGTATCGTATTCAAATAGATATATGCTAATTGAGTGTAGTGGTTGCCAATCAACATGTGCCTCAGGCAGCTAGCCGATACCTACCCACATCATGTGCCTCAAGCAGCTAGCCGATCCCTACCCACATCATGTGCCTCAGGCGGTTAGCCGATACCTCCCAACATCTTGTCCCTCAGGCAGCTAGCCGATCCCTCCCCACATCATGTCCCTCAAGCAGCTGGCCGATGCCTACCCACATCATGTGCCTCAGACAGCTAGCCGATCCCTACCCACATCTTGTCCCTCAAGCAGTTAGCCGATCCCTACCCCCATCATGTGCCCCAGCCAGTTAGCCGATACCTACCCATATCATGTGCCTCAGACAGTTAGCCGATCCCTCCCCACATCATGTCCCTAAAGC